ACCGTAGTGGGAAAATCCCCATTTTTTTTTTTAACTATAACTCAATCATATTTGTTCTGGCCATTCCATTTTCCAGAGCCACTTTTCTGATTTAAGCTTCACTTGAAGAACAAAAAGAAAGCATAAAGGCAGGTAAGTAAGGAAAGACAGAAGGATCATCCTTTCATTTTCCATCAGTTCCTCTGATTTTTATTTGCTTTGTCTTTTACCATTCTGTTTTGTATAAACACCTGTTATCTGATTATCGCTAGTTGCAATTGTAATCTTTACTAAACTTTTTTATTTTAGACTTTGTTTCCTTGATCCTTATAATCTCTTATGCAGAAATAACCAGGTTGGGGAAGAGAAATACAAATTTTATCTCTTTCTATATTGAATTCTTCTCAAGATATCAGGCTGCCCTATTATAGAAGACTATAGTGGTTTCTCTAGTGTCTGTGCACCCCTCAGATCTGGACAAGCTACATCTTTTAGGACCTGTACTTCCACAGTTAGGTAAATTAATTCTCTCTCTAATCTTTGATGATCTGTGATTCCCTAATCAGGGCTCTCCTAATTTTAGTGGCAAAGGGTGAAGCACATATAGCCATTTAAAAGACTTCAAGCTATACAAACTCAAATTACATTAATTTGTGCTGTGCTCCCTGTAGGTTTATGGCAAAGACTTTAGAAGTCTAATGCTTCTTTATCTCTTCCCAGGAACTCGCAATTAATATCCTCTACAAGATAGCTGGCGGTAGAGAAGAGGGTATGCAGCTAAGGTGGAATGTGTCCATTCTTGTTCATGGGTATAAAGAGAATAAACAAACATGCTGGGTTTTTATTTTCATGACCATTAAAAAAAATTGAGGTCAAATTCTACATTTATCTATGTATAAATTTTGCTTCAGTATAAAATATATATTGCTACCAGAAGTCATATGTTCCATGTTAGCAGATCCAAATCAAATGCTCACTAGGTCAAAACTGAGAATAAATTTCAAGCAGTTACCTCCTTAGCCACATCGTATCTCATTGCAACTGGTAGTTTCTGCCTACAAACAAGGGATTAAGGCGGGAATATCTGCAAACAAGAATTAGGGTATATTGAAATAAACTGTGCAACAGCTAGGAAAACTGTCCCTATTATCCTTGGCTATACCTAGTGTATGTGTTAGTCTCTTGCTTAAAACACAACAAAAAAAGAAACCCACCAAACCCTCCTCACTCTCCCCTCCCAATTTTAGTTACTTGTTGCTGTAGTGCGGTATTCTTTTTTTAAAGGCACAAGTGCTATTAATGACCTATAGGAAGTACAAAACTGCTTCTGCAGATGTCAGTTTACATTACAAGATCATCCACACAGCTGCCATTAGGCAGAAGTTTTAGAGAACCTGAACCTTCCCTCCCTTGACAAAATATCCTATATGTTTTGCCTTGGTAAGGAGTGAAGAATAAGATTCAATACCCCTCACCCAAACACCTCCACACCTGTAAAACAGAATAAGCAATTTCATCCCCATTCAAAAAATGGCTAATGCTAGCCACCATCTCTAGCAGGAGAATAAACGGTACAGATATGTTGAGAAGCATTTCCTGCTTGATTCTCCGTATTTCAGAAGAAAGGTGATACTAGCAATAGGCTTCCATAGGGACATTTTCTTTTAGAGGAACTTATGAGAGAGACGAGAGACAGCAAAACCCCAATACCCTCATAAAGATGGAAGATATGAAACTGAAACCCATGAGAATTCAGCTGTAATTTACACTATAGGGATACAGCCTATATGTCTTAAATTGTACCACAACTACAGTTATAGTTCACACATGGATTTTTAAAGTGATGAAGTCCAGGTTACCACTGATAATACTTTATACTGGATTTATTTTAGCATAACCTTTGCTGTAAATCAACTGGAGTTGATTTATGCACCATACCATTTAAAAAAAAAAATTACTAACTTAAGGGGAGATATTTATATTCCAAAGAAAGGAACGTACCATAGTATTTGCCCCCTAAAGTCTTACATTAAAAAAGACAATTATGTTATTTCAAACTAAATAAAAAAATACAACTTGACAGAACAAGCTTCTCTTGCAGAAGTTTTCAACTTATACATACATGTCTCTTATTTAAAGTAGTGTTGGCACACAACACCTTTCAACACAACCACTCTGAAACTTTATTGTTGGGAAAAAAAGTTATCACATGGAAAGAAGAAAAGGAAGCAATGGCTCTGCTTATTGTGCAGTCACATTAAAATTCTCGCTCAAAAAAGAATATTAAATGACAGAAAGGGAGAAAGAGGGCATTTAAACCAAGATTTTCTTACAGGTCATCTAATTTTTCTAAGAATTCTAGAAAATACACACTCAAAGTTGATTTTAGAAAAACAGCCATTTAAGCTTTGAAAAATTACTGTACTTGTGATTAAATCTAGGTTATAGATCAATGCATTTACCTCAGGATACTGGACAGATTGCCTCAGTACCAAGAATGGTCTGTTCTTTACTGATGCAGTATTTCATTACTGAATAGATATAATGCATCAAAAATAGATTTGGGGCAGGGGTTGGAGTCCAGCTTCAAGCATTTGATCACTTTAATGATGGGTTTCTAGTTCAAGAATTGTCCATTCCCCTTGAGGGGAAGAACAGTCGTCAGAGGAAAAACTTGCCACTGTGATGCTTGCTGAAGAATCATCGAGTGGAGATATAAGTTCAGTCCATCTACTGAAAGTGTCAATGTATGAATTACCCTGAGGTTCTGAACCATCTCGTGCCAGTAGCAGTGTCTGATTAATAAGATACTGTGCTAAATTAAGGTCTTCAGGAACAGAGTTTTTGAAATCTATGTTTGAGTCCTGCTCAGATAATAATTGCCTGAGAAGAGTCCAATCCTGTTCTGCAAATTGCTGATCTTCAAAATCCACATCTAGAATTCCTGTTTCTGACTCCATCCTCTGCTCAATAGCTTCTCCAACATCCATCTCATATATTGGAGAAAGGGTTTTTGAAGGACGATGCTCATATATGCAGGTTTGTGCCAATGTCTCACAATCATGTATGTCTCCTGAAATAATTCACAATACTACACAATGTAAAAATTGCACATGATCCCCTCTCAGGGCTTTGTAGAACAAAATTCAACTCACTGCAGGAGGAACAATCCAAGCAGATAAAAATGTAAGTTTATACAAAATTGACAACATTTGTAGACTTTATTTTCTATGTAAAAAACAAAATATGATTTATAACTTAAGTTAAGCAGCATTCACAACTGGTAATTAACAATAAACCTCCACAGTTGGAAGATTTCTGATACAGAAAATGACAAAATATGTAAGCACACATTTAATGCATATGAACTTTCTAATTCACTATAACAGTAACTGAAATTTGGAACAGGAGGTGTGGAAAGAAGAAATAAAGTGAATATGATTACTGAATGGTGATTTAAACTATGTCAGCTTCAAGGAGAAGGAAAATCAAAATGGTTTATCCACAGGCTTACTGATATATTGCACATGCAAGGGCAGCTGCAGGCAAGGACAAGCAAACTTAAAAAAATAGTACAACTTTTAATGTCTTCATATTCTCTGGTTTAGCTGAACATAGATCATCATCAGTATTTCAGTACTCTTGAATACACAATAGTAGTTATATTCAGCACTATTGTATATTTTATAAGGTGGTAATAACTTGAATTACTGGTTTAAAGAAGACAACACACACAAAAAACAACTAGACAAGTAGTCATCTAACCATGTGAAACAAGCTAGAGCTCTTTTATATATAATCATTGGTTCTAAGGATAATCTCTCTTTTAGGAAATAAGTTTTCAAAGGTAAAAGTTAAGAGTTGTAGTTATTATTTAACCTGTAAGTCTTTCCAAACCTGTTCCCACTGAAATCTATGGCAAACATCCTACTAAATTCAATAGAAGGATCAGGTTCCATATCTCTATGTATAATATAATATATAAATAAATTTCAACAGTAATTAATATAGCTGCTAAGGTAAACAGTTCAGTGCGCTTTAGTTAAGTTATTGCACATCCCACTTACAGATAGAGTATAGTGTGTCAAGCAGACAAAATTTTTTATGAAGTTTCCACCTGAAGTTGGTGCTGCCAATGTTAAACAGGACCAAAAATAATCAGAGTACAGAGAACTGTGTCCCAATCATTCTTTTAGAATTACATAAAATCTATCTTCCTGGTATAAATATTCAAGTTTTCCATTGAACAGTAAGTTATTTATTTTGTATTCCAAATGGACAAGCACTCTGTAAATAAGAGAATAATTAAAAACATTTAAATTTTCGTTTTAAAAAAAAGAGCCAGTTACTGGCATTCAGAATTAAATCCTAGGCAATCCCAATATTCTGCCTATTAAATTTTTCAGTGATTTAATGTTTTTATTTCTGTACATTACCTGCAGATAAATCAGTATTAGCGTATTCTGTAGATGCTGGTTGACTCTCTCTCACTTGACCTTCCTGAGTCAATAACTGATTCTTAGAGGATTCTATAGGTTTTGCAGAGCTGTTCTTTTGCATGTCAGAAATAATTTCACTTTGATGAAGGTCCAAATGACAGGGTCTTTCTTGAGACTTTGTGTCGCTGTCTGAAGGCTTATTGCACTGCTGAAATTCATTGATCTCTTCATTCTTACCGTTTCCTTTTTGCTTTTCGATTGGACATGAATCATCTGCTATTGAGACTACTTTCTCTGGGCAATTTTGTTCTATCATGGAAGCACCCTGATTCTCCTTTCTTACATTTACAGTGCCATGAGGATCTGAACAAGTGCTTTCACTTCTATCCAATTCTCTGCTCCTATCTTTATTCTGCTGTTTGCACTCCAGGAATCCATCTTCAATTTCTAAAGAGTATCTTGAATAAAAGGTCTTTCCATGATGCTCATGAGAAGCGCTGTCAAACACCTCTGAAGGAGTAAGAGAATCTACAGAATGCTGAAGAGGATTGTGTGTTTCTCCATCATCGGATCCCAGTTCTTCACATTCATCTACTGAAAGTAAAACAGACCGCTTAAAATTTTTATTTGTAGAAAACTCTTGACTTTCAATATCATTTTCTGTTGCATCTTCAAAAGCTAAATTAACAATGCCTTGGAACTGCTCAGTTGAAAGATCTGACTGAGGAAAATTTCCTGCAACATTCTCTGCTTCAGATCTTTCATCTTCAGTTTCATCAGCAGAAGAGGAAACTTGGTCTGGTTCCTGAGTAAACTGTGCATTGCCAAAAGTGGTATTTTCATTCTCCCTAGCATTACCTGCTCTTGCACCTTCTTGATGTGACCACATTTCAGGTCTTTTTCTTGGTATTTCATCATCACTTGTTGAATTAACACGAAAAAGATCAGAACCCTCCTTTTTCATTTTCACTTCTATTCTTAGACTGCTGTCATAGATTTTTAGTTCTTCAGGTGTACTTGTGTCACTGCTGCTTCTTCCAAGAAAATCATGGCATAACATAGTGCTACATTTAGAAATCCCTCTTTCATTTGATCCTTCATCATCCTGAGAACCTCCAGCATCATAGTCTTCTGATCTTGGTTTTATATCATCAGAGGATGTTGTTGCACTGCCAGAGTCAGATTCAGGACTCTCTTTTGGATCTAGAACACTTGTATTCAAACTCCAATGATCCACAAAGGGAGTTTCTGAGCTTTCGTGGTTTTCTGGTGTTTCTGTAGGATTCATGTATTTAGGTGAACATTTTTCTGTTACCTGTCCTGTGAAACATTTTGAAGCAGCATCTGCATCTACCGTAGCAGACCTGTATTCAGTCAAGACTGATTTATCACACAGTTCCTCAGCACTTGCAAATCCTTTTATGTTATTCTTAGATTTGTCTCTATTTTGTTCTGAATTAGAGGCACTGGTTATTCTTCCAGAAAAGCAGGATGCAGGGCTTGCACCATTATTAATGCCCATTTCAGTGCTTAAGGTACCATTTTGTTCCTCACAGACTTCTGTTGCTTCTACATGTTCCATTCTTTCTTTAGGAGCTGAAATGGTTGGCTTCTGGTCAGTATTTTTACAGATATCTGAGCATGCAGTATTCACCGGCTTTATATGGCAATTAAATTCAATAGCATTATGATCATCTTTATCTACAGAATATGCAATTTGAGCCTTGTCTAAAAAAACATGTTTTGTTTCCATTTCATTTTGCTGTGAAACATTCAGTTTAGGGATACCCTTAACTTGAGGACAAGAAGGTTTAGCTTCTGTTTTGTATTCCATATTTTTAAGAGGATCTAATGATTTCTTTGGATCAAGTGCATCTCCTCTCTTACCATCCAGGATGGATGTTACACTCTCATTTTGTTTTGTAGGGCTATATTTGTTTTTATCATGTGGCTGAATCCCTGATGTAGATGTATGCTGTGCATGTTTTTGTCCTGAACCTTTGTGTTCAGAACCATGCACACTCTTCTGGACAACAGGAGATTCACTTCTTGAATGCCTTTGAGCAGAAGACTGAGGTTTTAACATAGGTGGTCCTGTAACTATTTTTTGTTTTGGGTCTTTATTGTTTATAATCTCACTTTTCTTTGAACTGGTCTGATTTTTGGGTGTTACTATTATTTTTGCAGTGGCTTTAACTGCAGGTGTTTGTGATTGTTTAACACACTTTTTCTTAGCTGAAGACTGTTTCTCTGAAAGTGTTGTCTGAACCAAATGTTGTGTCACATTTTTTTCTTCATTTTGTTTTGGTGACATTGCAGACTTCAATGAATTTGGCGATTCTACTTGTGGTCCTAACAAAAAAGGAATATAAAAATACAGTAGGTTTCAATGCCAGAACTATATTACTTATACATTTAAACACATCCAAATTATCACAGTTTTATATATTCAAGAAAAAGTTTGTTAAAACAACTAAGTGATCTTATATACAAACATTAAAAAATATAATCTTACATTTGCATAGGATCTTTGAATGCAAAGCACTTTACAAACCATAAAACATAGGAATCACTTCACCGGTCACCAAAATGCAACCATTACCAGAGTGGAAAGAATCAGCTATCTAACAGTGCATACAGATGGTCTTAGCCCAAAAGGCCGAGAAGCGACAGTTTATCATAGGAAATGAGGAGTATTGTGTTCAATTTAAATTACAGAGGAGATGTAAGCAGGCAGCATGGGCAAATCCAGCCAGACACCACTCTGGGCACTGGCTTGACGGAATGGCTCAGACTGGAACCGCTGCTTTGGTGTGGCTTTAGAACCCAGAGGGTGTACAATGCTCATCCCCTGGCCTCCTTCCCCACCACCAAATTTGGTGGCAGGAAAAAAGGGGGAGGTGGTGGGTGGAAGCAGCATCCATCCCCTAGGTTCTGGAGCTGTGCCAAAGTGGTGCTTCTGGCAGGAGGCATGCTGATGAGCTGATGACCCTGCATCCCCTCTGAAAATGCCCCTGGTAGGCAGTATATTAGGGTTACCATATTTCCCGTTTCAAAAAAGATGACACCTGTCAGGGGAAGGGGGGAAATGTTTGTGGGGGGGTGGTGATATGCCCGTGCCCTGCCCCTGCCTCCTAAGCCACAGCCCTGCTGCTGCCCCTCACTCCCGATCCACAGTACCCATCCAGACCATGCTGATACCCCTCCCTCCCACCCCGCACCCCCTGCTCCCTTCAGCCTTGCAGCACCTCTTGGCTGCCCTGCCCCTGAGAGCAAGAGCATCAGCCCCGGTGCCACCAGCTGAGCCATGCAGCTCCCTGCTGCCCTCTCTGTCCACTTCTCCCACTGGAGGGGCAGGCATTTCCTCCACTCTGATGCAGCCCCAGTGTCCATGTGCGTACCCCCGCCCCCATGCGGACAGTCTCAAGCCCTGGGCCTCCAACTCCCACCCCCCCCATACACTTATCTACATGCAGTTGATGGGGCTGCTGCCACCACCCTGCCTGGCTGCTTCCCCGCAACTTGTGTGTGTGTGTGCATGCAGACACACGTGATGTCCCCTGCCTCCAATTGCCCTCCCTTCAGTCCCAAAGCAGCTCCTTGCTAGGGTAAGCTGGGAAGTGCTGGGGAAAACTTTGATACTCAGCAGGGCAAAATCCTGGACATTTGTTGTTATGTAAAAAAAATCTGCCTGGACTGAGGTGGGAGGACCCAAAAAGAGGACATGTCTCCGAAAAACTGGACATATGGTAACCCTTCAGTATATGGTTATATTAGTTACTAGCGAATTGCCCATCAACAATGATGGAGGGTGGGTGGGAGGGGACAGAGCACCCCCCCACTGCCACCACCTCCCAAGACCTTGGGGGGAAGTTTGCCCTTCCTTCCTCCTCTGCCAGCACCCTGTGCCACCACTGCCAGCTAGTACCATTGGCCTCATGCCCCCCGCTTCCCTGCTCCTCACAGGTGGCAGAGTGCTGCCATGACAGTGGGGACAGAGCAGAGGGGTGAAGCCAGCACCACTGGCCTTGCCCTGTGCTCTGTCCCCTCTGTCCATGCCGTCATGGTGGCACTCTGCATTCCAACTGGTTGTTTCACTAACCAATCAGAGTGCTCCAAGAGCGTTACGGACAGACAGACCAAGCCCTTTGTTATATAAGAATAATATGATCAGAACACTAGAATGAACACCCCTTCCCTTTCAAGAAGTATTGGAAGGCTTTTAATACCTATAAGTAGGTCAGACTTGTTTTATGTGCTACCTAAAAGTGCCTTCTGTTAGAATCTAAATACAATGCTCAGCTGAGAAATGCTATATTTGAGCTGAAAAAATTCTGTGCTTAACTTGCCTTTTTGGGCCTAAGCCAAGCAAGATCTCTATACAGCATTACCTTCCATATTGGCTAAAAACAGATACAATGGACTGTGAAGCAATTTTGCTAGTGATAAAATAAATTTACTTGCCAAAGAGCCTTCCAACACTTGGTTTGGGTATTCAGATTTTTTAAGAAGATTTTTTTGTTTGTAATACTGATGTCACTGTACATTGAAGTAACTTAAATTTGTATATTTCTACTATTTAGATGCTCTACCTCCTAGCTACAGTGATTACAGAAAAAAGACTAAATGTGATCTGTACTATGATGCAATCAAAGCAAGGCATGTTTACCTTCATAAAAAGTTTCATCATAAGTATATATTTACATTTAAAAAGTCACACTGAAATGTTTTTACTACATATTGTACTACATGTTTCAAAAGAAACACTCGTGGAACTGGGTTACTTCCAGTTTTCATACATTTCATAGATATTTGGGCTGGAAGGGACCCTGGAAGATCATTGAGTCCAGCCCCCTACCCCAGGGGCAGGAAGTCAGCAGGGATCATAGGATCCCAGCAAGATAAGCATCCAAATGTGTCTTGAAGGCGTTCAAAGTGGGTGCTTGAACCACCTCTAGTGGCAGTCTATTCCAAACCTTGGGGGCTCAGACAGTAAAGAAGTTCTTTCTTATGTCCAGCCTGAATCGGTCACGGTGGAGTTTGTGACCATTTGATCTTGTCATCCCTTGAGGTGCTCTGGTAAACAGATTTTCCCCCAGATCCTGATAAGCACCCCTGAACCTGTGCTTTTCCAGGCTGAAGAGTCCCATGGCTCTCAGCCTCTTCTCATAAGATCTGTTTTCCTGACCTCTGATCGCGCATGGCCCTCCTCTGCACCCTCTCAAACTTCTCCACATCCTTTTTGAATTGTGGAGCCCAAAACTGGACACAGTACTCCAGCTGCGGGCTCACCAAGGCCGAGTACAACGGGAGAATGACGTCCTGGGATTTGCTTGAGAAGCATCTATGGATGCAAGCCTGCATTTTGCTCGCTTTACTAGCTGCAGCATCACACTGAAGGCTCATGTTTATCTTGTGGTCAATCATAACCCCCAAGTCCCTTTCATCTGTGGTGCTAGCCAGCATAGCACTGCCGAGCCTATAAGCATGCTGCAGGTTTTGCCTCCCAAGGTGGAGAACCTTGCATTTTTCGGTGTTGAACAGCATCAGGTTCTTGTCCGCCCATTTCTTGAGTCTGTCCAGATCCGCCTGGATCACCCTCCTATCCTCAGGTGTGGATGCTTTACCCCAGAGTTTGGTGTCGTCGGCAAACTTGGCCAGTCCGCTTCTAAAACCAATGTATGTCCACATCACTGATGAAGATGTTAAACAGTATAGGCCCTAGGACAGAGCCTTGAGGGACCCCACTGGTGACTGCGCACCAAGATGATTGGCTTCCTTTAACCACCACCCTCTGGGTCCTACCGTGGAGCCAATTCCCCAGTCAGCGGATTGTGCTGAGGTCGAGGCCGCAGTTAGCCAGTTTAGCTAAGAGGTGATCATGGGATACTAGATCGAAGGCTTTTCTAAAGTCAAGATATACAACGTCAATCTCTTTCCCCTTGTCCAGGTGATAGGTCACCTGGTCATAAAAGGAAATGAGATTGGTCAAGCAAGACCTACCCGCAACAAACCCATGCTGGGTATCCCTCAGGATATTGCCATCAGCTAGTCTGTTAAGGATGGACTCTGATAATCTTTTCCAAGACCTTCCCCAGGATAGATGTCAGGGTGATGGGCCTATAGTTTCCCGGATCTACTTTTCTCCCTTTCTTGAAGATAGGCACGACATTGACCCTCTTCCAATCTTTGGGCAGTTCACCAGAGTGCCAGGAGTTCTCGAAGATCCATGCCAGGGGCTGAGCTATGATGTTTGCCAGCTCCTTGAGTACTCTTGGATATAACCCGTCAGGGCCGGCTATCTTGAAGGTATCCAGCCTGTCAAGGTGTTCCTTCAAAAGGTCAGCTTCGATGGAGGGGAAGGAATCTCCCTCACCTGGGCCTCCCTGACCCACAGTGGGCAGGGGCGTCCCGTGGGACTGGTGAAAAACCAACGCAAAGTACCCATTTAGCAAGTTTGCTTTTTCCTGGGCATCGGTTGTCAGTTGTCCCATCTGGTTTAACAGGGGTCCAATGTTGCCCTTGCATTTCCTCCAGCTCCCCACATACCTAAAAAAGGACTTTTTATTGTCCTTGATATTTGTAGCTAGCTGGAGTTCCATCGCAGCCTTGGCTTTCCTGGTTTGCTTTCTGCAGGTCCGGACCAGTGCAGAGTATTCCTCCTTGGTGGTGGTTTTATAGGTACAAAGAACAATTATAGTACATTATGTAGTAGAATAGGGCTGTCCAACATCTGAGTAATTGGGCTCCCCCACTTGGTCCATGTGGGCTCCCAAACATGGGTTGCCTTGCCCTGCCCCCAGGGGTGGGGACAAAAAGTAGAATTTGGAGGAGGGATGGGGAGAAAGAACCACAAATCCCAGTGGTAACAGCAGCAGCAGTTGTAGTGGGAGTAATGGCAGCCAGATTGGATCTTGAGAGCCAGGTCTGTAGGCTTCCAGTTGGACAGCCTTGTGACAGAGGACCTGTTTCTTCTATCCAGTCTGTAGTGTGGACCTGTGATGTATATTGTGAACTTGTTTCACATACAGAATTTCTGTTGAACTCAGGGGCAGTTCTAGTTGCAAAGCAGATTGAAGAGCAGAATTTTTCTTTGATTGTGAACCACATTAAAAAGAATGACCACAAATTAACATTGGAGTGAAACAAGCAAAAAAAACCCCAAACATCTTATGCTTGTCAGCAAGCGAATTATAGAAAATAAACCTGAATTGTCCATAAAATTTCTGTAATGCATTTCCTTACTTGTGTTATAAAACAACAAACTGTTTTAAATTAAACTGGTTTAGTTTCAGTACCATTCAAAACTCTACCTTGGATTTTATCAGTATTAGCTGTTGCATTCTGTGCCTTCTGTGGAATTACAGAATTGTCATTCACATTCCCCTTTTTCTTCAGGACAGCTTGTGGGATTTGTTCATTGCATCCTTTTCCAGTAGGTTTCTTTGTCACACTATCATAGGAAAAAATATTGAATTTATTATTTCCAAATTTAAGATATAAAACAAGTAGTAGTTCTGTATGTATCTTAATATGAAGTGTGCAATAAATGCAATGTATAATGATTTTGCTCTCTGATTTTGTAGTTCCATCTAATCAATTTCAATGGTTTCTAGTTCTCAACATCTTATAAGATTACTCACTGTTCCACTCTTTAAATTATGAATGGCCTGTGACATTGCCAAAATAACTAACCTAAAACAGCCCAAACTCAGAGGCAAGACCAGTTTTATCTTAGCAAAAAAAAAATTCTGCAGCTGTTTCTCTTTCTTGCTAACAATGTAAAATAGACAAATATTTTACAAAATGCATAGTTATAAAAGAATTTGACTTTGATGACACTTACATTAATTAATCAATTAAGTATATGTGCACAAATAAATAGCAGTGCAATTCTAACACACCTTTGTGCTGAAATATTAGCCTCGGGTTCATTAACTTTTTTCTTGTTGGTGGCTCCATTAGTTGTCTTCAAAGCAGCCTTTGTTTTCACTATTGTAAATGAAACAAAAATTAGTTAAAGGGTAAAATTACAGTAAGTACTAACATACAATGGTCAGATATTTAAAATGGCATACATGAAAGAACTGAACCCTTTATGACATCAGCATACATTGTTCTCCCCGCCCCCATCCTCTGTCCTGTTTCTTAAAATTCAAGTAAGACCCCTTAATAACATGTTTTTTGTAACATCACTATTTGTTATTTGCATTCATTATAAAAATAAGCTTGGGGATGGTCACAACCAACCTGGTGTAGAATTTCTGGAACTTTCCACACTGTTTTTCAGACTAGAACCTGCCTGTGGCGAGTCAGTAGGGGATCTCTTATTATCATTATGTTTTTTCCCTTCATTTAGTGCTTTATCCTTGGGTTCATCTGTCTGTTCACTGGAAATCTGGAAATCTGGGCTTGAGTTTGTTAACTTGCTAGGAGTTCCTGCCCCTGTTACTAGGGAGGGAGATTCCTTCCCCGAGGTCTTCTTCAATGGCTTTGTTTTGATTTGTACACTTGAACTTCCAGCAAGCACTTTAGGTCTGGCACCTGCAATTTTTCCTTCCTGATTTTTTACTCCTTTTCCACTTCCTGAATTCTTTTGTCCACTTGCAGACAAGGACTTTTCAGACTCTGGCTTGGTAACCAAGTTTTCAGCTTTCACATTTCCATTATTTTCTAGTTTTGGTTTAATAACAGCTCTAGCTTTTGGTGAAGCAACTTTTTCCCCAGGTTTTGAATCTTTTGTAACCTTGGAAACTGCTTTTTTACTATCTTTTCCTTTTAGTTCATCATGTTTTGAGGGTTTATTAGCAGTGTTTCTGTTGGTACTTGCTGTATGTCCAGATGCTCCTAATCCATCAGATTTCATTTTATCCTGATCAATGGAGGTATCACCCAAACAGTCTCTCCTGCCTTTTACTTTCCAAGAAGTATGCTTTATATCAGAGTCAGTGACACATCTGTTTAGCTGGAAAAAAAAACCAAAAACAAAAACAGAAGACACTCAGCAACAAAGAAAAATATGCATTATCTTTATTTCTTGAAACACAGCTATTCCTCTAATTTAGCATGAATCTAGTATTGAACTAATACATTTGGAGAAGGAGAAATAGAAAAACTCCTCCAAACTGTGAAGCTCAAATGGCTTTCAATATTATGTAGAAGGCACGGTAAAGATACAACTCATACATCTCTCCCTTGCCTTCTGCCTGACTTTAAACTAACATGGCTAACGTCCATATCACATATGCCTTTTCTGGCACGTAATGAAGTCATTTTGGGCGTGATTCTGAAATACAACAATTGTGGAAGACCATGTAAACCTCTTTCAGGGTAAGCAGATTAACAGGGAATGTAGCAAACTGGATTAAGTGATGGTTTAAGATAGTGGGATAGCTTCATTTGCCCAGTAGCAGACAACTTCTTTTGGGAACTAGAGATCACATTTCCATTATGTACGAACAAATAATGTGAGAAGGCTTCTGAACAAAAATACTTGTTTTCTATTCTGTCCCACTACTGTGAAAGTATAGACTCCTGTCAATCCCCACCAAACACAGAAAGCTGATTATGATGAAAAACTGTTTCAACAATGAAGGGAAATATGATTATTGTAAATTACATTCTAGCAGTTGGTATACACAAGTCACAAAATGGAAACCAAGAACAATATGAGTTGTTTATAGGATTTTTTTTTTTTTTAAGTATAAGGGTCTAAGTGTTTACCTGTGAGCTAGTGAATATAGGTTTTTTGCCAAGTCTTCGATCATCACCTTTGTCAAAAGCAGCTGCATGGGGGAAAAAGCACCTTTTTATTATTAACAGGAAACAGAGTGAGTGTGTGTGCGTGCGCACGCGCAATCCTAGAGTTGGTCAAGAAAGATTAATTTTGGCATTAGGGAAAACAATAAATGGGGACAGAAGCGAGTTCAAAATACAAGACTAGCAGTTGGGACATCTGGTGCAGTCAATGCTCATTTGCAGCCTCATTTGGTAAGAGCAACAGCTGCCTATCAGCAACATTTCCTATGGGAGTATTTCCCTGCTACATAATTCAGATGATGCTCTCTAAAACAGAAACATCCATGCAGCAGAACACTGGCATGTCCCTATTAATAGGCACTGACTCTGTCTATAACAAGATGCAACAGACTTCTGGTGCAGCCTTGGGCAAGTTGTTTAATACCTCTTTTCTTCATCTACATCTTCCGTACCTCCAAAATACATAAGACTTAGTTCACACAGTGTCTGGGGTGTATACAGACTTGGATCAGATTGGATTAGAGGCTCAGATTAAAGGTGAACAAAAGTGTGCAAAAAAGATGAAAGTCTCAAAGTAATCAATTTCAATTAATCAGCTTTAATCAACTGCAATACATCCTGCCACTCATAAATTTATATTTACACAATTTAAGCAACAGATTTATCTTCTTAAATCATCTCAATAGTATACACTGTTAAAAGCTATAAAGCCCACATATTTGTGTGTGCCCAGTAAGGACATAGCATAGATTTTCTGAGTGATCTTAAGGTCATCATGTAAGCTTTTCAGGGCAAAGAATGCATCTTTTCTATGTAAAGCAATGTTCATAGTGCTACATAATTAATTTAGCAAGGCTATACATGAAAAAGCAAATTACTGTACAACATCTTGGGAACATCCTTCAATACAAACTTCAGATCAATAGAGCTTGTGTTAGATAGAAAAGGTATATGCATATATAGTACAGACACAGAATGGAGAAAGATTCATTTTTGAAAATAACAATTCTTTGGTTGCAAAAAATGGGTTAAAGCATTTCCTGTTCATGTGTTACAGCATACTCTTTAGATGGACAAAAAAAATCATGTATAACTGTCAGTTGAAAATTCTGTTGAATTCTCATGTTGGGTTTTATAAAGCATCTGTATATAGCTCTATAGAAAGCCTATAAGAAAAGGCAGGATGCTGAAAATGGCACCAAAGGGATCTCATCCCTTTTCAGCAATGACTCTGCACATAAATACACACCAATATTTTATACAAATTTCACAAATTTGAGCTCAGGATAACACAGGAAATACTGTGAGCAAGAGAAAACATGGTATCTTTCCATCTTCATTTTGGATTTTCCCCCCTATCTGATCAAGAAGTCCAGAAAATGTGGTCTTTCCAGAATTTAGCATTACCTGAAATTTTCCTAAGGTGAAAGTTGATTTAAATGATTCCAAATAAATCTCACATAAAAATGAAGATTCCTCTAACAAGACCATATCCTTGTTCTTATAATAAAAGATGTACACAGTGAAAGATTTACATTATGTGATAATTTAATGAAAACATATAGAGACTATCAACAGTCTGTGTTAAAACCATATAATCTAAAACCTGACCGTTTTTGCTACCATCAAGGATTGAATGATACCCACATTATGAACACAGGTCTATATACTACTTGGCATATAAAGCCCTAGTACAAAACAACCTCAGATGCCAGTTAGAATGATGACACAAATACATACTCAGAAATGCTTCTATTTCTGAAAACTGTCCCCGAGCTCCGAAGTGCTCTACAATGCAGAAAGAAATCAGGGACCTGCTTCAGAAAGTACCAGTCAAACCTCATTTGGTTACACCTCTAAACCATGCTTATAAAAACTGACAATTCCTTTTTCATCTAGCTCATACCCATTTATAAACACACAATTTTTTCACTACAAGCAGATTATATATATTTTGCTTGTGTGTTAATAAAAATAAAAATGTCTTACCTCATAATCAAAAGTGACTGAATTTTAGAAAAGGGCCATTTAAATGAGCGTAATGCAACATTTTTCCCTTTAAAAAACATTTCATTATTGAAGCAATTATTCAACCATGGCCCTGAAGCTACCATCAGTTCTGTACCCTTAAAATTTCTTTCCAGACATTTGAAAACAAAGAAACATTCAGCATAAAAACTTCCTTTGTTTAAAGTACTGCCCATTAAAATTTTTAGAGAACACTATGCAGCTCCTTGGGATCTCTCTGCAGCAGCACATACAGTATCACAATACCAATCAATTGTGAAGTCAAGCCATCTATATCTATTCAGAGTCCACATGAGATGACTATTATACAAGAGATGAACAGTCTTTACACAGTAATATGAACAACAGATAAAAAAAATAGAAACTAAATTCACAGAATTAGTAATCTGCTTTGTGTAGATTTAATTTTTCCATAATGCTTGTCAGCTTAAAGAGAGAGATTTAAACCATTTTTCTTTAATCCTATTCAATATTTTTAATAATTTAGAGTAGCTGCAAACAAAAACAGACTCAGCCTATATATCTTTGATTTCCATTTTGCATATCAGTAGAAACAGAAGCTAGGAAGGATTATTCAAAGAAAACGGTTTAATCATTTCCAAGCTTTAAACTGACTAAGTAGCTTATCTTTGCTTTCAGTTCTAAAATGCGACTTAAAACCTACAGCATCAATCCTATATACATACATACACACACACATATATTAGCAGCTGCCAAAACTGCCAGCATTTTTTGTATTAAACACATTACCATTATACAGTAGTAGTTGTTTTTTGATGGCTCACATACCTGCTTGTATTTTCTGTTGGTCGTCTGGCTTCATCAACTTCCAGCTTTCTGTGTGACGAACAGCATAAAAAGACTGAACTAGGAATATCCACAGCTTATCACGCAGAACCTGGATCTTGCACGTAAAACCCTGTGTTCAAGTAACAAATCAGCAGCTGGCGAGAGGCATATTGTCATAGCAACCAGTCATTATTCCTTTCAGAATCTACTTACTCCCTAAGCTAGATCAATGATGTCATCACTTATATTTTACGATTGCCTACTAGATGTAGATACTGTTCATGAGAGCTTTTTGTCTGCCACCATAATTTTACACATTTTGAAACCAAGCCACTCCCACACAAGCTAAAACATCATAAACCATCAAATTCATCTTTTGTTTATGAGCCCCTTCAGAGGTTTTTACTATCAGCTCTGTCACGACAAGGTCAAATACTCTAGGGGACAATAATGAATCTGATTACATTTTCATTGCACTTACTAAGTCCACAAAAGCACTAGATTGCAGTAGTTCACATTTTTTTGAATGTAACACTACTCAAAATGTTAATATTGGCTTTATAGTGAACCTTAATTCACAAGTATTACATACTATTTTATTGTGGCAGTACCCATAGCCCAAAAAACAAAAACAAACAAGCCCCCACAGATGAAAAACCCTTGTTCCAAAGGAAATATAGCATTAAAATAAAAAAGACCTGAAGCAAACTAAACAAAAAAAACCCAACCCCAATCTTCCTATTTGCTAGATTTAAAAAAAAGTAAATACCAGTAAGCCCTGTCCCCCATGGTAAATAAGAGGTAATTTAATTTTAAAATAATTTTTTTCTTGGTCATAAATTTAGAATGGTAGTGAATGTTAAACAGTATTTTCCCCAGCACATAAGATCTATATAGTTCCTAATATATGATATATGTTATTGTTGCCATGTGCACTGTAAAATATTTTTGCATTTAAAAAATATAATATGCACAAGTGCTAGCAGGTCCAATGTGTTCAACAGGGCTTTCATAGACATTAGGACTGGAAGGGACCTCGCAAGATCATCTGGTCCAGCCCCCCTTGCCCAAGGGCAGGAAGTCAGCTGGGGTCAGATGACCCCAGAAAGATAATCATCCAAATGGATCTTGAATGTGTCCAGAGTAGGTGCTTGCACCACTTCTGGGGGGAGTTGATTCCAGACTCTGGAGACTCGGACAGTAAAGCAGTCCTTCCTTATGTCCCTTACACCTTTACACAGGTGTAAGTGCATGGATCCCACTGTAGGACTGGCACCACTGAGCTCAAACTGCAGAATCTGATTTGAACGCTTATACAAAAGAACAGTTTGATACAGTCTGCTATATTGAATAGTATGCGATACTTTATCCATTACTGTGGTAAAACCTACCATCTCCTTCACATTTGTGGAGCTCAATAAAGTGTCCATAGCTATCATAAGAAAACAGCTGTTTTCAATATTAATGTTTTTTTCAATTGCTTTAAAAACTTGTTCTAGGAGATCAGGTTTGCTGCTCATTGCCTGTGCCTAAGGAAACAACAAAAAAGCAATAATTTCAAACAAAAAGTATACTTCAGATGTGAAACACTGCCCGATAGAAAAGGCATACTGTGACTTTACTGGTAAGAAGCTTTCCCAAAAATCTCTCTGTTTATCCATCTCCCATCCCAACAAAGTATACTCTTGCATTATAAATACTCTTGGAATTGTATCATCACAATGAACAAAAATTTAGGAACAAACAGCTGGTGCTGAATTTATAACATATACAAACTTGAAACCATGAGAAGGGTAGTTTTGACACATCCATATATAATTTTTGACTCATCTCTGCAAATTGCCAAATCTTTGTATTGTTAGGGAAATGAACAGTGCTGGGTAAAACTAGACAAGCTCTTACCAGGAAATACTAGGGATGTCTTGTCAATTAAAATGACTGCCTCTAGCATTGCTACCCCCTATCAATTCATGATTAAGTTGAAAGAAATTGGGTGCATCTATACATGCAATTAATGCTCCTGAATTATCCGTGCAGGAAAATGAGGTGCATAAGGATGCGCGTCTGCATGTGCACCCGTGTCACAAGTAAACAAAGCCCAATGGGAGCAGCCTAATTCAGGGCTGCTCCTGCCCTGCTCTGCTCCCCTGCAGCAGCCAGGGGAAGCTCCAGGCTCCCCTGGGTGCTAGCCTTGGGCTGGCAGGCAGATGGGAGTCAGGCCTGGGCTCTGGGGTGGAGCTGTTCTGGCTCCAGGGGAAGCTCCATCCCAGTTGCACAGAGACTGGGGCCAGCCCCAAGCTGTCCCTGCCAGAGCTGGACAGCTCCCCTCTGCTCCCTGGGGCCGGCACTGATCTCTGCGTGGCTGAGAAAGAGCTGCCCTCTGAGCCAGGACAGGTCCCCCCCATCTTCCCTCTGGGGCTTAGCCAGGCAGCAGTTGTGGTCCCCTGCTGCCTGGGCTGACCGGAAGCAATTTGCTCCTGGTTGGTGTCGACATGCGTGCTTCGGCACATTAGTTAAAATGCCATTTTCTAGTACCTATACCCGTGGATACTAGCAAACAGCGCATTAAATTAATCTACTGCACAGTAATTGCTGCGTATGTGTTGATGGTGACACTTTACTGCAAATTAGATTGCACATTAGTAAAGCGTCTCATGTAGATGCGTCCTGTGAGTACTTGCTCGTATTTATAATTGTTCCTCTGTGTCTATGCGGCCATACTGGGAGCTTTCTGGGAACACTTATTGAGTGTGCTAACTCTATAAGCAGACGTAGTACTGTGGAACTACTAACACCTGTATTCAACGCTGAGAACATAACCATTCTTAGTACCAGCACCTTAGTTTCCTTCAGGAACCCTCATAATTTACTCATGCCCTAAATATTTATTTCTTAAATAAATATGAATATAAAGTGAAGCTGAAGTTATTTTGCAAAGTTTAGCACCCTGGCATGCTGGGGTGAATTTCCCCAACACAAGACAAAGTGCAACAATACCATTTATTTCTTTAGGAAAAGGGGAACAGAATTTGTAAGCACTTTACCTGCAAGAAGATGTAAAAACTTTCACTTTGTATTATCTGCAAAAAGTTTGTTACAATAAATGTTAGGCATTCCTCTTGCAGCTTGGATGCCATTGCGACAGCTGTTTCAGTCCATTTCACTTGGGGAAGACTACCGATCAGCCTATCACTTTCCATTAAAAGAAAAGCGGCATTTTTGTGGCTCTTCAAATAAAAAGAACATCTATTAGAGTAGTAACTCAAAGAACTACTGCTTCTAAAGTAACACCTATTCAGTAACTGAATACTTACATGATCATCCTTAGCACATTTTCCTTTCTTAATTTGTACTTGGATTTTAATTAATTCTACATTAACATTTAAAAGATTTTTTAAAAAGGTAAAACAAAAATCTCAACAGTTTCTATTGTTCTCCAGTGAAGTGAGAACACCTGCATAAGTGGTTTCATTGCTTTTTCCAACTACTTAATATTACGTTTTGGTGCTGAAGAGAAGGCAGATTCATGAACAAATGCCAAACGCTAAACTGAAGGAAAGGAAACTGTAATTGGAAAGGACAGAGATCTATTTATGTCACAGGAAAATGTAATACCATGTTGGTAAAAAGAGCAGGGAGAGTTCCAGGTGGCTGGAAGGTAGTGCAGCAGCCTCAGTGCAGATGGCTCAGCCTCCAGTAGATCCCTAGAGATTAGCATTTTTCTGGTCTGAGCCCCTTCACTTCTTCTATAACAGAGCAAACACTAAATGCTCCTCTCCACACAAGGAAGCAATTGTTAGACAACAGTTTTATTTTCCTTTACCCTCCTCAACATCTAACTTACTCATACAAGGGAGTGATCTGATACCAATGGAGAATATTTGTTTTAAATATATCTAGTTTCCTAATATTTCTTCCTTTTAACTTCAGATATTCTGTGACTTTGCGACCATAGTGACAATCTAAGTACCTAGATGAGGCCTCATCTTCTGCGCTACCATGTGCTAACTCAGTTTAAAACCAATTCACAATTTATCATTAACCAACAAAGTAAAATAGATTTAAAAACCTCCTGTACATGACCTGGCTGGTCAGCTGATACACTGTACAATATGTTCAAACCTCATAAAATTGTTTCCTGTTGTCTTGATTTTAAAGTGCTGCCAAAGCTAAAGAGCATTTTCTATAATTGGAATCTTGTGTGTTCCTCTAAATGGGAACAAAATATTAATAAATCAGTAAAGGAATCCAAATTTCTAGTGCTAATTGATTCCTGGAAAAATCCTGGAAAAATTTATCAAAGAATCCACCAGTAATAGGCTAACAGAGAAGGCAGTATTCTAAACGACAGCCAACATGGCTTTGTTGTGGGCAGGTCATGCCTGACCAACCTCATGTCCTTCTACGATCAGGCAACTCACCACCTTAATAAGGGAAATGAGGTTGATGGCTATACTTAGATTTTAAAAAGGCCTTTAACTTGGTCTCCCACAATGTCCTCATGGTAAAATTGGGAAATTGTGGCCTCAACAACTTAACAGGCCGGTGGCTATGAACCTGGCTCTGAGGTTGGACCCACAGACTGTTAATAGATGGAACTGAGTCAACATGGTGAAAGGTGACCAGTGGTATCCCCCAGGGCTGTGCGAAGCTTCAGTCGCTGATTCGACTCGGAGGAGATTCGGCTCGATTCAGTGGCCGAATCTCCAAATCCAAATCGAATCAGGAGACCCATTAATCTCTCCAAATTGAATTAAATCAGAGGCTTCTGATTCGAAGAGATTCAACGATTCGGCCATAGACACAGCTTTATCTGTTTTTTCTACTTACGTCAAGGTATCAGGCGGCTCATGAATGCTGAGATGGTGGAGCAGATGGAGCATCCCACGGGAGTGCAGGGGGGTCCCCAGCATACTCAGCGGCAGACCTGGAAGTGGACTAGAAGCACTTCCGGTCCACTGCCAGGTCCGCTGCAGAGCACACGGGGGACTCCCCTCCCCACCCAGCAGCTTGGAAACTGGTGCCTCCTGGGTTTGGGGGGGCACCCGGAGTCCCCCCACGGCTGATCTCCAAGCCGGGGGGGGGGAGGTGGGGGGGGTGCCCTGTGCGCTCAATAGCAGACCCGGAAGTGGACCAAAAGTACTTCCAGTCCACTTCTAGGTCATGCTGGAAGACAGGATGAGGATACAGACTGACCTGGACAGGCTTGTAAGGTGGGTGGATCAAAACCTGATGATGTTTAACACTAAAAAATGTAAAGTGCTCCATCTGGGGAAAAATAATCTGCAACACACTTACAGGCTTGGCGGTGCTACACTAGCTAGCACCATGACTGAAAGAACTAGGGGGTCATGATCGACCACAGAATGAACATGAACTATCAGTGCAATGCTAGAGCTGGCAGAGTGAACAATATACTGGTATGGATCAACTGATGCATCTCAAGCAAGACTAAGGATGTTATCCTCCCACTCTATTTGACACTGGTGAGGCCACAGCTGGAGTAGTGCATCCAGTTCTGGGCGCTGCACTTCAAAAAGGATGTGGAGAAGCTTGAAAGAGTCCAAATGAGGGCCACATGAATGATTAGAGGTGTGGATAACAGGTCATATGAGGAGACGCTGAAAGACACGGGATTGTTCAGCCTGGAGAAGAGAAGACTTAGGGGGGGACTTGGTGACAGTCTGCATCTGTTCACCAAGGCACCTCAGGGGAAGACAAGGAATAATGGACATAAACTGCTAGATCACTTCAGATTGGATACAAGGAAAAACATCTTTACGGTTTGAGTGTCCAGAGTCTGGAACAGACTCCCCACAGAGGTAGTACAGCCACCTACCCTGGAGATCGTCAAAAGACACCTGGACGCACACCTTGCTGGGATCATCTGACCCCAGCAGTTTTTCCTGCATAAGAGCAGGGGGGCTGGACCTGACGATCTCATGAGGTCCCTTCCAGCCCCTAACTTCTATGAACCTCTTAAGTGTCATGAAAGGAGAAGATATTTTGGGAAAGCAGAAACAGATTAGTGAAAAACAATTTAGGAAATGGAAAATATCCTTATGCCAGTGGTTCAAAAAGCCTTTTATTTGGTTACATTCACTAGGCCAGAGAGATTGGCATCATCCAACACAGAAAGCCACTGGACCTAACCTGCGAAGCTGAACGGCCTTGGTGGTAAGGGCTTTGGCCATGATGAGAATAGGCTGCAAGGAGCTGCACTGGGGCTGGGCAGATGGGAGCTGCACCTACACTGCAGTAAGTCAGAACCTGCAGCAGCTGCAGCCAGGTTGGAATGCTGGCCCACCTTAGACCCAAGCCGGGTTGTTCTGACCTGTGGCTCCAGACTGTTGCTGATTGATGCACTACGCTGTGACTGCAGAAAAAAGTAGGAAGTTCAAATAAAGAAGTCACACAAAGATGTGGCAAGCTCAGATTCACACTTACCAAAAGCTAAATAAAAAGTAGTCTGTATTTGTGCATACTTTCAGATATGATTAAAGTTCCAACAAGTCCTAGTTCAATTAGCTTTGCCCCTAATATACTATTCACATATGGGCAAAACCGATTTTGCTTACTTGTGTGACAAAAAAATAAACAATCTAGCATAGGTTAGATAAAGCTTCAATCCTGAGGTGCTCACCAAGTCAGCTGTGCACCCAGGGCACCTGCAATGCATGGAGGCAGCGGCAATTTCTGACTGCTGCTATGCTGCTGGAACAATTACACAGCTGCAGGTGCTGCTGCTATTTTCCCATCTCTCCCCCACCAAAGTGATGCCTGGGACTACTGGCCTGCTCACCCCACCTTAATTACGTTACTATTTCAGACTTGCTTCCACTGGACACATCTGCAAGCTTCTTTAATATTGCAGGATCAGGCTTCTATTTACAAGGCAAAAATCACTTCCTCTTTTTTGCAAGACACTAGGTAGGCTAAACTTCCATTTAGTGCTTCCAGTGAAACATAATGGGCCAAATCCTGTTTTACCTGTGCATGTCTAAGGCCTCCACTCTACATAGCTACACATTATATCTATTATGCAAGTACCTTGTTAATTGTGCAATAAATCTAGACTAGTTATACCTGCAAATTAACTACAGCACCTTAAAAAGGTCCAACCAGCTATAAAGTTACTGCTCGAAAATGTGTAATAAACTTTATAGCTCAGGGGTAGGCAACCCCCAGCATGGGTGCCAGTGCATGGCACACAAAGGCATTTTGCTTGGCATGTGCGCCTTGGTGCAGATATTGGGGAATAGGCTGGGACTGCACTGCCACAACACGGATCAGGCCCCTCACAGCTGCCACCGCTGTTCACCTCTGGTGCGCCAAGATCTTACAAACCAAGGTTACAGGTGTTTTCGGCATTCTGCTCAAAAATGCTGCCGACCCCTGTTATAGCTGGTTTATATCCAGCTTTAAATTTGTACATGCAGGCTGTCTGTGGCTGGGGGAGCGCGGTTGCTCTGATCTCTCAGCTACTGGGGAGCGCAATGGACCCCTGAGGCTGGGAAATCACAACCTTTGTGATCTCCCCGCTGTGGGGGATACTCCATGGAGTGGCTGGGACATCTTAAGTGGCACCTAAGTAGCCAGAGAAAACAGAGGGAGGCTCTGCCCTGGAAGAGAGGAGGCTCCTCCACCCGATAGGGGACAAACTTTTTTATTCATTCTATCCAATGAATAAAGTGCAGAACAGCCACTGGGGCCAAGAGCCAGAACTTGAGGCCCTCTCCTTTCCACACCAGTGCCTATCTCATGAACAACCCTCAGACAGATTTGCTTTCTTCCTGACCCTACATAGCTTCTTCCTGCACAGTGAAATTGCTTCAAGAGAGCTGTACAATGCTTCGGGAAATACCTACTGCACAGCCTGGTGGTTAAAGCACTGTGCTTGGAAGTGCGAGATGAAAGTTCAAACCCTCTCTGGACCCGTCTCCCATTCCCTGGCCAAGTGCCCTAATCCTTAGACTACTGGATTAAAATGTGGGAAAGTCCCTCCCCCACTCCAACCAACCCAAAGTACTTGTGGTTTCTCTGTGACTACAGCTTTGGGACTGATGCAGGGTGATGTGTGTACCTATGCTATTCTGCTCTGCCAGATTGCAGCCTTCTGGTCATACTGACAGGGAAGTGCAGGACAAATGTAGCTATACGAGCACATACAGAATCCTTACACAGCTATGTAAGTGCTACTTACATAAAGATGAAACAACATTTGGCTCAAAGGGCATTTACACATATAAGTGCTGCCGCACCAGGTGCTTTAAAAAGTGCCTGGTGCTGCAATGCTTGCAGTTGTATAAGCAGCAAAATGTACGTCAGCGCTGAGAAAATGGTAGCGGTGTGCTTTTGAACTAAAATGCATAGAAGATGATTTAGTTAAAAAATGCACCGCCGCCATTTTCTGCGCGCATTTTGCTACTTATACAACTGCATGTGGCGCAACGCAGTTCGCATCATCTTGTGTAAGGAACAGACTTGATTAAACAGTCTGCTCCTAAGTGGCAGATCTCTGGCTCATCACAGGACAAAAAAATGTGTGTATAAATGCCTAAAATGTTTTCAAAATTTCCTATGAAATCAGCACCTTGCAGTTACCGGTCAATCTTGAATTTTACCCCTTCAGATAATTTTTTTCCCTTAAGTAAGAGATTATTATGAATAGCTGCAAGAAGGAGTTCCCTCTGCCCATTTAAAATGACTGATTGTTAACATCTGTTTGTAAGGCTCCAAGAATAAGTACTTCAATGTTACTTTATCCGCATTCAACACTTAAGAGGTTTCTAGCTTCTCGTAGCTATCAAAGTGACTTTCCAAATATTCTCTCCACTGCTCATCTACTTCTTGCTCTTCACACTTCTTTCAAGATTTGCTAGGCAGGAGCAGCAGAAATACGTTGGTACTCTGCATCAAAACTTTTGCTTGTATGCTCCCTTCAATGTTGACTAAAAACTCATGAAAGAACTACAGCAACTCTCCTCGAGGCCAAGTGTGGTGTTTGGAAGTTAAATAAAAGAAAGCACTGTATATTCAACTAGCTTTTACATTTAAATTCCCAAGACTGACAGATGAAAGAATCACATATATTCATATCTAATTATCATGCACATATAAGTGTTAAAAAGTAGTGCTGCACAGTATTAAAAAAAGATTTCGTAATATACAGTAGTTCAAGTTAAATAAATATCTGTAGACTTTTTTTCCAAAATGCCTTCAAAATTCTGCAGGCCACCAGGGAACACTACAGTTTTGGGAAGCTTTGGGAATGGGTACCACACAGAACTCAAGAAGGCTGAGGGGCTACTCAAAAACTTTTTCAGAGTGAAGAAAAAGTGGAAGAAGCTTATTGATTTATTTTTGAAATCCATGATTGTAAAGGTGTATTAAGCCTCAGCTTAGAGAACTAAGCATGTCTTATACTGCAGTCATGCTGTCCCTACATCTCATACAGACATGCCCAAGTTAGATTTACATGGAGTACTTGAAACCATATAGCTGCAGTGTGTGTACACTGAAAAACCTGCCTGAGAAGCCGAGCAAATGTTTAGATATAGTTAGGCCCCACTGAGTTCCATTTTATATGAAGCATACCAAGTGAATACTTACCAGAGACTGACTCAACATAGTAAGACACTTGTTCTGAAGCTCAGCAGGTAAACTGGCAAAGCTCCTGTCTGACCAGCATTTTACAAAATGTTTTCCTATCCATCTATTAAAAAATGAGAGTCTTGCTTAATTAAATAAGTAACATGCATCACATTTTACAAAACTATTATTCTAATATTTTTACTACTGTTAGCATAAATGAGTTTCCTGAATTTTTGTGGAAAAATATGTTCAAATACAAACAATAAATGTAACAAAAATATGTTCAATGTTTAAAAATACATTGATTTAAAAAATGAACTGTGAAAGTGGATAGCATAAGCCATTAAGCATTATTTCACTTACTTCATGCAAGCAGCATAAAGGCTTTCCACTCCCAGAGAATGAGCAATAGCCAGACATTCTAGCATAGGTTGCAGTCTTCCAGGAATAGGCTAAAATTATTAGAAAATAATCATACTTACTATGCATTCACACTATTAGAAACTCTACAGCTATACAGGTATTCAATTTATGCAGAAGCATTTTTAGTTGAGAGAGTGTTTACATTTGTGTGCATTCATACAAAATAGGCCTGCTCCTGCTTTCACTGAGGTCAGTGGCAATAATGCAGGGTTCAGTGTGAACAAGTTCAGGTAAAAACTCTTCTATTTTTCTACTATCAGTTGAGCAGAATATACTACTACAAAACCAACTATACAAAGATACAGCTTTTCTCTGTTACAACCCCCATATAAATTGGTAAATTTTAAAGTATATTGATATAAGCTTAATTGGTAGAGTAGAATACTGTTTTTGTCTGTTATGGTTTACAAACTATGCCTAGCATATTGCTGGAATTACATAACAAGGTGCTTGCTTCTGCAAGCCTTATCTCCAGGTAGTAATTCCACTGAACTGAATACATATAGTATATTGCCTAGCAGAAGGAAACTTGGTTATTTAAACATCTTATCTATTTTAGGTGCAAGAGATGAACAAAAATCCTTCTTCACTGGGCATCATGGCTAACAAAGTAGTAGAAAAGCTGACAGGTACATGCCTACCTTTTGAAAAAAGTTGCAGTAGTCTCTTTTCAGAACATAGATTGCTACTTCTTTCAGCCCATCTAGCCCATACATATCTGCAATGCTCAGTATTCGACTTAAGTAAGAGCAGTACAAAAAGATTATATATTAGCTTCAGCATTTTAGTAATCTTGGGGAAATAAAGTTTGATCAATCAAATGATTCTAACATTCAAAACTTATGTTTTTGACATTACTAGTGCACTTAGGAACCGGTGTTATATAACAGATTGTAAAGAATAATATCTATTTCAAAACTCCTGTTATAATTGCATGGGATCTTTTTTGCCATAATATTGTATATTAGTAATGCGCAAACTGGAAATTTAACCTTTAGCAGAAGCAGCATCCTGGGAATATAATGAACAAATCTTACTTTTAGCCATCCCTCACTGAAATTAAATAGGCACAGGAGCCCCAATAAACAGAAGAACCAGTGGAGACCTACAGCACAAGAATGGGAGACAGCAGATGTCTAAAATTCTTCATGAGCTTCTGCACTATAAGCTATATAAAACATGGCTCCAATTATTGCCACCGTTAAGAAGAATTCTGGGGTTGGCCCGGAGCATCCACAGAATCTGCAGATACCCAAACTTCCTCATAGACTGTGGGTGGAGTGGGAAACAGATGCATGCAACAGCTGAATTAGTGCCCCTGATGTGACTGCACTGCCCACCTGCTCTCTCAACAGGAGGGTCCTATGCTGTTCCAAGATCTGTAGATTTCCCAGGGCCCACGAAGACAGGATTTGCACCATTAAATATTAAAAGACTGCCTATAGTTGCTTCATGTTTCTGTTCAACTTCTTGCTATAGATCTAAGTGTTTATAAACAATATATTCTATACACACACACACACACACACACACACACACACTGAACCCTGCTATAGATCTAAGTGTTTATAAACAATATATTCTATATATATAGAATATAACACTCATTAAAAGAATCTTTTTAAAAGAGCACCCACTAAATGTTACAGAATATCATCACACTTTGTCCATATTGCTGTACTGTTCATATTCTAAACATCTTTCTCCAAGTCTAATTTTCTACTGGGTTGCTGGCCCACCTTTTCCAGTAGCTGCTGAATAAATAAGATTTCACCTACAACTTTATTTTTGGAATTTCCTCAAGTATGTTTAGGTATAATGATCATTATATTTGACACCTTTGTCTTACTGATACTACAGGATGCATTTTCTATTAGAGTCTGAACTGAAAAGGAGCAGAATAGGCAAGAAGTGCAATTAAAAATAATAAAAGTTGACATGTACCCAGCATTGGCTTTGTTTGGAAGATCAAATATTCCTCCATATATAAAATTCAAGATGACACACATTTCTACATGGGTTATGCTGCAAAACAGAAAGAGAAAAATCACTGCAAATAAAGATGTTCAAATAAAATTGTTTGCATTTTATAAATAGAAAATGATTCAAAAGGTTGAAGTGCCAACTTACCACACTAAGAAACAAATTATGGAAAGGAAATGGGAGTAATACAATTAGTATCCAAGATTACTATAATCTAAAATAGGACTTTATCTTGGAACTAACTTCACTAATTTTAGTAATCATATTTAAACTCCATTGTATTTTAAATCTTTGATTAATTTTTTCTACAGAATAAAAATACTGCTTGGATTTGTGGTGGTTTTCTAATTTCCAGTTTATTTACACAGATAATGTGTACAAAGAAGACATTTTCGCCTTCCAAAGATATCACTAGTACATGCCCAATTTTTTGTTAGTCATACATGTTTAAAAACAGTTTTAGAAATAATTTAATATATTATGGGTTTCTTATTTCTAAGAATACATTTGAACATTAACTTTGATAAAAACACAATCAGTTTCTGTGGTAACGAGAAAAGTCTCATCTCAAAATATTTAGAAGGTTTTTGTAAGCCTAACATTTCATCAAAGTCAATGCATTTATATTACTTGCCTAGCACAATTTTTAGGATAATTTTCATCTTAGTCACTATGGTTAATTCCCAGAACCATCGGGAATTCCCATTCCACCACCCATTAGGTAAGGAGAGGGTGGGGTGGGGGAAGAAGAAAAAACTTGCATGCTGGGACCCCTTCAAATATTAAATGTGTTTGAGCAACAGACAGTGATGACTAAAAACAAAGAAAAAATTGGTTGCAACACACTAAGCAGCAAAGGCAACAGTTGTCTCTCTATATATTAGCACACAGGATAACCATAAAAACAGCAAGAAAGGGTTTCCCTGCTGTCTTGACAGCTGTTATCTTAAGCAACATTTTCATTATTTCAGAATAAGCCATATGCAATTTATTTATGAGTTAAGAAAGACTGTGAGATAATCTGCATAAAGCAGAAGACTGAACTATAAAAGATGACGGTAGTACAATGAATCTAGTTAGCTCTTATTACCTGAAAATAATGAGACACTATTACTGAAACAGTTGCAAAAAGATTAAATAGGGTAATTTTCAGAAGAAAGTCTTATCAAAAACAATGGCTGAAATTTCTTAACTATTTAGAAAGATGACGTGTTGAGCAAAAAAGGTAACTGCCTTTGATTTCTAAAAAGATTGCTATATAACTTTAAAGCTACATAACCAATAAAAGTAAAACTGAACAGCTTTATTAGCATTAAAAATATGTAATATCAGAGAAGTCTGATTAAATAAACAGGAAAATAGAATGATGAAAACTGGAAGAAAACTGTGTTCAAATCATTCATAATAATGCAAAGTATACAAGGTTGAGCAGTCTACAACATACATGGTTCTTTGTACAGAAATCTGGATCTGCCATAGCAAAATGCTGCATGAGATTATTAGCTTTCTTTAGTTTATGAAACAGCAAGGTTATGATACATTACATACATGATCATAACAGATACAAATAGTAATGAAAGCCTTAATATCCAATGCAGTTTTGCACAGAAGACAGAACTGATGGTCTCAGAGATACTGAAAACCTCAGTCCATCCATGGAATATGCAACAACATTTAAAGAGTTGTATTTATTCCACATAAGCAGCTACACTGTGCAGCAGACGACCACTGCTGATAAATATTTTGAAACACTATCCTGTTTCCTAGTGTATGATACTGCTGAATCAAAGCAGCTAAAAGAGAGTTCCAAACTGAACAGCTTCTTTGCCTTTATATGCTTAGTTTTTATTATACACACAGCTATAAAGATCTATAAAACAGCTGAGGTGTTCAGGACACTTTTTGTGGAATAAATCAGTTTAACCAAAATGAGTTGGGAAAAAAAAAGTGTCACCGAGGCCATGGACACTAAAATATGGATTGTGAGAAGTACTGTTCTGATTAAGTACCATTGTGTTTGTTGAATGCTTTACTCTCACTGGATTGACAATGTTAAAAAGATAAAACCATTGCATTTTACTCAAATCAAAATACTGCAAGCAATTATATTACACAGAAGAAAAAAAGAAATCATCACAACAGATTACACTGAAGTGCTTTGTATGCAGCACAGTTACTGTGTATTTGCAGTGATTTTAAATTGCCTACCTTTGGTCCTGTAAGACTTGCAAAGACTATGCTTACCCTTGAAGAGTAATGTGCTCTTGGGAGCTTTCAGCCCAACTTCCACTCAGCATAGCAGTAAAGTAACTAGATCTGGCACATAAAATAGCTCTAAGAGGAAAAAAAAAACCCCAAAACTTTATTCCACTAGATACAAATATTATACGCTAACATTGACTCAGATTTTTGTCTCTTGTACATCAAGATTTCAGTCTGCACTGCATACCTTTTTGACCAATATCTTTCACAACATCTCTCAAGATATCTAACAGAAACAATTAAAATTATTATGCTGATATTTTTCAATTAAAACCAATTTCAAGCACACCTTTTATAGCCACTTAAACCAGAAGAAATCAAGGTGTCACAAACACCCCTTTCTCATCCAAATGAGAAAGTGGGATATATTTTTCATTATTACTACAGCATAGCATTAAATTACTTATATAATAATATTTCAGACAAACAGGTATATACCAAATCTCTCTCCGATACTTTTTGTATACTCATTCAAATAAAGAAATTCCTGGACACTTTCAAATGAAGGTTAGCTAGACACTTGACTGGTATGGTTTAGGTGGGGATGATCCTACCTTGAGCAGGTCCCTTCCAGTCTTACTTTCCTATGATAAATATTTTATAAAAATAAAATACCATATTTTCTCAAGATGTAACATACAACACACACCTTTTCCCCTCAAATCAGCCCCCCATAATTGGAAGTCATGTATTAAATGGGGAAGGTGATTTTCTGCCCAGAGTGGGAAGCACCTTGGTTTGATTTATGACTTACAGTGCAGCAGCTGTAGTGTTTTTGACTGTATCATCTCTCTGGACACTGACTTAATGGCTCATTCTTATTCACTTTACAGGTGTTAAATATCATGTCTCCTTTTTAACGGTCTTGATGTTCTACTAATCAAGCTAACTTTCCTCAGTCTGTTAGCTGAAACCCATCTCTTTATTTCACAATCTTTTCTGCTCAAACTCCTTTGCTGTTTAGCATAGACTCTTTATATCTTTTTAGAATCACAGACCCACCCATGGAGACCAATCTTCAGGAGCAGCTAGGGATTTGGCTTTAATTATGCAGGAAAGGGATGATGAGTCAGCTAAAGATTAGTCTGTGTCCCTGCTCTGTGCAACCACAACTCTGGAAAAATCTTTTCTCTTCATTCTGCCTTTTAAAGCCAAAGTGCATATTATATTTGAGGCTATATTATAGTAAATCTAAGTAAATCCTTAATCCCCGAAGGAACTTCATCAGACCAAAACAGCCCCGTAGTATGCGAAACATGATTCTATAAATTCTGAATATGCATGCATGATCTTTTCCATTTACTCTCCTGAAAGCCACACACAGCCCTCTAGTTTTGTCAGTTCCATCCTTGTACTTGCATACCTTTCCTCTCCAAAATCAGGCCTCCAAAATTGGGATGCATGTCTTAAGGGCGAAGCTGATTTTTCTTTGCTGGAATAGAAGCATGAAGGAACAGAAGCATAGAGATGCTATAGTCTAATAGCTGGCAAAAGGGCTCCCCTACTTCTCTGTGGCCCAGGAGACAGAGGGGTGGACTCCATTGTTAACCTTCTTGCAGCTGCTAAGGAATTGTTCACCAGGGCTCCCCAAGGGATAACAAGGTCTAACAGCCACAAACTTCTGGAAGGCCAATTTGGACTAGACACAAGGAAAAGCTTCTTTACAATCAGAGTGTCCGGGATCTGGAACAGACTCTCCCCAGAAGTGGTGCAAGCACCTACTCTGGACTCTTTGTAAAGGCGTTTGGGTGCTTATCTTGCTAGGATCATTTGACCTATTTGACGAGTGATCGTCAGAGGTGACTCCATCCTGAGAGGTACAGAGGGTCCCATCTGTCACCAGGACCACTCGACACGCGAGGTCTACTGCCTGCCCGGAGCAAAGATTCAGGATGCGACGGAGACGATCCCGGCCATTATCCAGCCCACTGATTACTACCCCATGGCCCTAATCCATTTGGGCACTAATGATGCGGCCAGAAGCCCTGATCACCTGATGATGGACTACCATGCTCTGAGGGGCATGCTGAAGGACATAGGGGCACAGGTGGTATTCTCTTCTGTCCTACCAGTGAGCGGACGTGGAAGACAACACGAGACCTGCATCAGAGAGGTCAACTTGCGGCTTCGGGAACGGTGTCTCGAGGCAGGCTTCAGCTTCCTAGACAACGATCCACACATCAGGATGAGAGAGATGTTCGGATGGGATGGGCTTCACCTTTCCCCCAAAGGTAAGCATGTGTTCTCTTCTAGGGTGGCTGATCTCCTCTGGCGGGCTTTAAACTAGGCTCGTTGGGGGAAGGGGAAGACGAGGGCGGAGAAAGCCTTGGACCACTAAACCAAGCGTCACCCACAATGACAGCCCAGCCTAGACTGACGACGAGCAAAACTAATACCCAGGTAAGCAACAGGGGCCCGGGTAGCACTGAGATTAGGGGGGCAGTGCATGCATCTTCAGGAGGCCTCAAATGTCTCTACACTAATGCTCATAGTATGGGGAACAACCAGGAGGATCTTACCCTCCTGCTAGCTAACACCAACCCAGACATAGTGGGGCTCACCGAAATGTGGTGGGACCCAACGCATGACTGGGCGGTGAATATCAAGGGCTATAAGCTGTACAGAAGGGATAGGACAGGGAGGAGAGGTGGGGGTGTGGTGCTCTACGTCAAGGAGAAATACACATCCTCAACAAGTGGCACTGGGTCGGAGGAGGGGCACACTGAAGTGCTTTGGGTTAGAATACAAGGAAGTCGAGGGGAAAGGGACTTAACGGTGGGGGTCTACTACAGACCACCCAACCAAGGGGAAGAGCTAGACCGGGAATTCTTAAGTCAGCTCATGGAGGCAGTTAGGTCAAAGGACGTGGTCATCATGGGTGACCTAAACTTTCCAGACATCTGCTGGGAAGACCAGTCAGCCAGGATTGACCACTCACGTACGTTCCTAGCCGAGATACAGGACCTCCATCTAACCCAGGAGGTGCAGAGCCCCACCAGGGGAGATGCCTTGTTGGATTTGGTCCTGGCCATGGGCGACGACCTGGTGAGGGGTCTGTGGGTGCTCGACCACCTGGGCGACAGCGATCATCGCCTGCTGGAATTCACCATCCAGTGCAAGGTGGCAAAGGCCTGCAGCAAGGCAGCAGCCCCGGACTTCAGGAGGGCGGATTTCAATGAGGTAAGGAGAATAGTCAGGGAGACACTGAGGTCCCGCAGGGGAGGGGAGTTGGGTGTCCAAGAAGAGTGGTTGTTCCTTAAGGAGACGATCCTCCAAGCCCAAAGGGAGGTAATCCCAACATGGATTAAAGGGGTAAGAGAGCGCAAAAGCCCCCATGGCTCACCAAAAGCATACGGGACCATCTCCTAGCTAAAAAGGAGATGTACACCCAAAGGAAGGGAAGGGCCATCACCAGGGAGGACTATACCTCTGTTGCTCGGGGCTGTAGTGAGGCAGTCAGGAAAGCCAAGGCGGAGATAGAACTCAGACTAGCTACCTGGATCAAGGACAAGAAGAAGTCCTTTTTTTAAATGTATAGTGGGTAAAAAGAAGGTACCGGGTAATGTGGGGCCTCTGCAGGACACGCTAGGAAATCTGGTCATCACACCAGACAACAAAGCTAACTTATTTAACAATTTTTTTGCCTCCATTTTCCTGAGTAGGGACTGGGTCACCCCCCACACCGGGACCCCCGTAGGCCCCAGGCCTAGGGTCAGTGAAGACCTAGTCAGGGAACTTCTGGAGGGACTGGACGTATTTAAATCAGCTGGTCCTGATGATCTCCACCCCAGAGTGCTGAGGGAATTAACAGAGGTCATTGCGTTGTCTAGGAAGCTGGCACGGCTTTACGAGCACTCATGGTGCTCTGGTGTGGTGCCAGAGGACTGGAAAAGGGCCAATGTGGTTCCCAATTGCAAAAAAGGGAGGAAGGAGGACCCAGGAAACTATAGGCTCATGAGTCTTACCTCGGTCCTGGGGAAGCTTTTCAAAAGAATTATCCTGGCGCATGTGCACGAGGGGCCAGCAGGGGAGATTACGCTTAGGGGCAACCAACACGGGTTCATTAGAGGCAGGTCCTGTCAGACCAAACTGGTGGCCTTCTATGATCAGGTCACAAAATCCTTAGACGCAGGTGTCGCAGTGGATGTAGTATTCTGGACTTTAGGAAGGCCTTTGACACTGTCTCTCACCCCATTCTCATTATAAAACTAGGAGACTGTGGCATCAATAACTACACAGTAAGATGGGTCACTAGTTGGCTGGAGGGCCGCACCCAGAGTGGTGGTGGACGGGTCTTATTCGACCAGGATGGATGTGGGCAGTGGGGTTCTGCAGGGCTTGGTCCTCGGGCCCGCACTGTTCAACATCTTCATCAACGACTTGGACGGGGGGGTGGATAAAAAACACCCTGTTCAAATTCACAGATGACACTAAGATGTGGGGAGAAGTGCGCACACTAGAAGGGAGGAATAGGCTGCAATCGGACCTGGACAGGTTACAGGGGTGGGTGGATGAGAACAGGATGGGTTTCAACACTGACAAGTGCAAGGTACTGCACCTGGGGGGGAAGAACCAGCAGCATACCTACAGGCTGGGGAACTCCCTTCTTGTCAGCGTAGAAGCAGAAAAGGATCTTGGAGTCATTATTGATGCCAAAATAACATGGGCCGACAGTGTGGGCACACGGTCAGGAAGGCCAACTGCACCTTGTCATACATCCACAGATGCATCTCAAGCAGGTCCAAGGAGGTGAACCTCCCCCTCTATGCAACACTGGTCAGGCCGCAGTTGGAGTACTGCGTCCAGTTCTGGGTACCGCACTTCAGGAGAGATGTGGACAGCATTGAGAGGGTTCAGAGGAGGGCCACCCGCATGATGAGGGGTCAGCAGGGCAGGCCCTACGAGGAAAGGCTAAGGGACCTGAACCTGTTCAGCCTCCACAAGTGAAGGCTGAGGGGGGATCTAGTGGCCATTTGCAAAGTAGTCAGAGGGGACCAGCAGGCATTGGGGAAGTCCCTGCTCCCCCGAGCACTACCAGGAGTGACTAGAAATAATGGTCACAAGCTGGCAGA